ACACACACATACATATACATATATTTATATATATACACAGATATATATATTTGTGTGTTGTGTGTGTTTATATACTATGCCCTGCCAGACTAAGTGGAGTTTTAGGAATGAAGATAATCACAACTGAAGGGAGGAGAGGCAAGATGGCAGAGTGTAAAGAAGGGTGTAAAGTCCAAGGAGGGCTCTGGGAACCCTCAGGGCTTGCTGAACCTGTGACCTTTCTGCTTTCTGGTGAAATAGTAACCCCACTAACCTCTGGCAGGCCTGGCTCCGGTGACTTGACATATGAGTGATCCCACACTTCTAGTCAGGAGCCCAAGGCTGGCATTTGTGCATCACCACCATGCTATGAGCAAAGTGTCTTCTACAACTGTTACAGGAAAACAGGGAATCTGTAAAAAATTACCAGAAAAATCATTATATCAATCTCATATTATTCAAAATATTGGCTTCTATAGATAGTGGGTTTTCTGGGTGAGGAAAGCTAGCTACACTATATTGGGGGCACTCACATATTGTGTATTCATGTGGCAGTGATTATTATTAATATATCCCATACATCCTATTCACAAGGGGCAGGAGGAAAAACTGGCAGTTTCAGTCAGAAACATTTTCTATTCTGCATCAGTGATGCAATTCCTGTGTGAAGAGCCAGGCGGTTGTCCTGCACTCTGCCCCATCCTCCTCCTCTGCTGCTTCTGTTTGGATTGTCACATCCATCTCTCCAAGGACGTGCCTTTGGGTTTTTTCCATTCACTTGGTTTCACTTCTGCTCTCTTGCTTCCCTTGTCATAATCCCAGGCTATCATTGTCACTTCCTGGAGCCACTCCCCAGAACTCCCCAAAAAAACTCTATATAATCTAGATTTAAAAGCCTATTATTGGTAGAAAACAAAGCACAAAGGGCAGTATTGCATTAGCCCCTTCCAGTGTCTTTATCCAGTTACTGAATTTTGTCATCTTCCACTCATCCCAACTTACTCCCAGTCTTAATGGTTTTGAACTATAATCACTCCTTTTTTCTCCACCTCCTGCAGGTTATGCTGGGTTTTGGGCGCCTGCAGGCCCTGTACCGGAGCCGGCAACTTGCTAAACAGTATGAAGCAACCCAGGCACATATCATCAGGCTTCAAGCTATGTGCCGTGGTTATCTAATGCGCCAAAAGATAGCAGAGCAGAAGAAAGCTGTATGTGTTATACAGGCATATGCAAGAGGCATGTTTGCTCGCCGAATCTACCAGAGAATGAAGAGGGAGGTATGCTCACAGATACCTTGTGAACATATTGCTTCTATGAAGTTCTGATAGAGATTTAATGACCAGCAAGTGTTGCCACAGCATAGCACTGGATGTGGATATTTATTTGGGGATATTTTATTTTGAGCTCTTGTCAAGTATGAAAACAGAGTTTTAAGCAGACTGATCTTGTTTATATTTGCTTTCTGTGTTCATTATCACGGATCAAAATTTCACTGACAGAGCTGAAGTGTTTTTGACAGAAGGGAGGAGAAAAGATAAGATGTGCATATGTATCAGTCACTCCTGCAAGGGAAGATCAATTTCTACAGCAAGGCCTGATAATGTCACCTCGGGATCCATTAAAAAGGGAATCCTAATGCAGTGTGTCTTGGTATGCGCTGCCAGGGAAAATCCTGTACTTGCTACCTTTGCAGCCCATAGCACATGAGAGGCCTTCCTATGATTGCCTTTCTGTATTAATGCTGTACAAAGAGGATGAAGCCAGTTTGCAGATTTCTGCCTGTGGCCTGTTCTCTAAAATGCCTAATCTAGAACTAAGTCCCTGCTGCGACTGAGTCCCTGGTGTGGACAGCTTGTTAATGGCAGAAGGGAGCCAGCTCAGCAGTTGTGGAAACAGTCACAGAATGCTCCTGTTGCCCACAGAACAAATGCAAGCTGGAAGCCAGGAATATCCGCTTAGAAGAAGAGAAGCGTCTCATCCAAGTCCTTGGACCAGTGAAAGCAAGGGAAGAAGCTATGAGATTAGAAAAGGTAGGTATGTTGGCAGGGAACACTGAATGCTATGATCCTTGGCTGACAAGAGAGCTGCCCAACTCACAGCTGTGGAGTTGCTCAAAAATATAAGCACTGCTATATTTTAACAAAAAGCAGATATAGTTGTAAACCTGTTTGTAATGATGCTTTAGAAATGGGACAAGGCAAACACATGCACATTTCTGTTTGCAGTATGAGCTGGCACTTTAGCCAAACATGCACAATGCTGTTACAGCCCCCTGACACAAAACATTTTGAAGTTTTCAATAATGTGGGGTTTTCTGCTGTTAGGAATTCTATGGGTTTTCTGCATTATCTCCTGTTGCTAAAGTTCTTGAAAAATTGCACATCATTACCAATAGGCCAGCAGTCTATAAGGACAACTGTACAAGCAAGGCCCTGCTGATGATGTGCTAGGTCTTTGTGACTACTTAGCAAAAGCAACATTTGACTTCACATTCCAACACTGCACTAGCAGAGCTGGACCTCACTGTCATAACACCTTTGTAATGGTGTTTCATCCTCACACCCATTTATTCTAGCAGAATGATATTCCAGTCATGCCTAACCAGCTTCTATGTTTAAAGGAACACCTGGCTGCTCTGGAGAGAGAGGAGACAGAAGCAAGACAAAGGAGGAATGCTCTTGCGAATAAATCAAGAAATCATGATGTTATTAGTGACCAAGAAATGGTGGATAAAATTTTTGGGTTTTTACCTTCTATGATTGGAGGCCAAGAAGGACAAGCTCCTCTGGGTTTTGAGGTACAGAGCTGCAGACTGGTAATGAGTCAGGTTCATCCCTTGTGTAAGTCCTTTGACTGTTGGAATTTCATCAGTGGTGAATTCTGTTTAATGAACTTCTGTACAGTGAACGTATCACCCAAATTAGTCATCCAGACAGTCTCTTTGGGATCTGCTTTCAGAGGTCAGTTCCCAAAATGCAGTTTGGGGACTATGTGTCTTCAAAAGCTACTGCATATTTTTTTCTTTGGCCCAGCAGACCCTCACCAAATAGTGCCATTCTCTGCATTTTGGCACCAACCACGTGTTCTGCTGACAGTGCTCTCTGTGATTTTCCAGCTGAAACAAGCTGGAAGTTCATGACCCAAGTTATCCCATATTCTTAAAAGCAAAATTTGAGATATACTCGTCCTGACAGCTGTGGAGGCTGGAATCGGGGAGGGAAAGGTAGGCAGAGTAGAATGGTCTGAGTTAGTGCAGGATGTGAGCAATGAGATAACACCTGGGTTTTCCATCAGCAATGTTCTTGCTGAAGACCAAGACAGGAAGGTCATATGGCATGGATGCATGTCAGAAGGACAAGCTGTGTGTCCCAATTTTCTGTTGGTAGCAGCTGAAAATGGCTTTGGGGTTAGCTGAAAAACCAAATTCTGGAGGAATGTGGCCAAGGGGAAAAAA